GGGCCCTGAAGAGTAATTTTGCAGTCACTGTTAGGAGGTGTATGTTCAAGGTGTTGACTGTGATTGCTGTCTGACACAGTACAGGAAGGAACTGTAGTCTCCATGGAGACATTATTTCCTTTTACAAGTGTATCAATATCCTTTTCTGATTTGCCAGATGGTGAAATTAATAAATCCTCTCCATCAATTTCTGTATCAAGGCATGGAGGACCAGGAGGTTTAGACTTCAGACTTAAATGGTGCGTCTCTTTAGTTATTGGGGACCTAGGACTTTTGCTGCTGATTGCTTCCTGTGTCTTTCGTTGCTTGTCAGGGTGTACGAGAGAATTAAGGTCAAGGAAAGACTCTTTTTCCTGTGAAACAGATGTCTTCTTCCACTGCTTCTTTGTTCTCCCAGGCAGTGCATTCTGCCCTTTCTTACCACCAGGGCTGCTGATGCCATGCAAAAACTGTTCCTGGATGTCACCTGTTCTTTGTGTATGGAACACTTCTTCTTCTTGGCCATTTTTATGGTTAAAGGACTGAGGTTCAACATCAAGGATCACAGCGATGTTTTCTCCAGTTTCCTCATCAAGATGGTTGATTTGTAATGTATCACAAGGAGAGCCTTCGTTTATAGGTTCTGAGGGGGAAAGTATATATGAGACTCAGTAAGTCCACTCCCAGATAGTCTCTCAAGAGAATCAAAAACAGACTCACGCAGAAACACAGACATAGCCATTCATGTGGCATTACCTTTACAGTTAAAAGGTGGCACTGGGCACGGCGGCCCACACAATCCAAGCACTACTACTGAGGCTGAAGCAGAAGGACTGCTTCATGAATATGAAACCAGCGTAGGAAACATTGGCTATGTGGCAAGATGCCAATTAAAAAATCCTAACTAGGGCCGGTGGTGGCGCATGCCTTTAATCCCAGCACTCAGAAGACAGAGACAGGTGGATCTCTGTGAGTTCGAGGCCAACCTCATCTACAGAGTGAGTTCCAGGACAGGCTCTAAAGCTACAGAGAAACCCTGTCTCGAAAAGCCCAAAGAAAAACAAACAAACAAACAAACAAAAAACCCCTAAAAATAAATAAAAAAATAACTAAGAGTTAAAAAGTCATTTTTCTAATACTAAAACATTGACTATAGTTCCTAAAATTTGAGGAGAAAAAGAGCAACTAAATAGACAATCCAACTTAAGACACAGGATATCATTTGAATTGTGTACCATGAATTTTGTATTATTTAAGAAGTCTACTGCTTATTATCCATGGGCTGTGAAAAGGTAACATCAGCCAGTTGAGGAATGAATACAAAGCAAGTGTAAGTGAACAGGCTAATTTACCAGAGCGGCTTAGCTGTGGGGAGATTTCCTGATGGGGCACACAATCTTCTATTGCTTTCTCAGAGTTCTTAACCTTCTCAGCTCTTTTGGCACGCTAGAGAAAACAAAAGCAGCCCAAGAAATCAATTTTCCTTAAAGCTGTATTACTGTCAAGAACCTTTCTTCCCATTAGGTGTGATGGTACACACCTGTAATCCTAGCATCCAGAAGGCCAAGGCAGGATTGCGGGTTTATTTATTTTTATTATATTTTAATTATTGTGTATGTGTGTGTGTGCATACACTCAAATACCCCTGTGCCTTAGCATTTTAGTGGAGATCGAAGACAACTTTCCTTACACCACGTTGGTCCTGGGCATTGAGCTCACTTTGTCGAGCGTGGCAGCGGGTGACTTTACCCTCTGAGCCACCTTGCGTGGCCCCAGGTTTATGCGTTTAAGTCCACAATGGCCTGACTACATAGTGAGGCCCTGTTTCAAAACCAAAAACCAAACCAAAACAACAAACTCTTTTGTGCAACACCTTAATTTGACAGAATATGATTCACTCACCTTAAGACGAGCAAGTGTCTTGCTGTATTCCTTTTTCAAAAATGCTAACTTTTCCTTCAACTAGAAGAAAAACATTAACAATTTTGAGCAGTGAAAAGGTGGAACCAGAGGAAAGGGATGTGGTACTCAGCAGGCCTGAGATGGCATATGGCAGTGTGCGGTGCTCAGCAGCATCCCTCAGCAAGACTCAGTACAGGGAAGGGCAGTTTCCCCAAATAGACCTTTTCATAGTTCCTACAAAGTATCAAGCTCTCTCAGACTTTGCCATGATGGTTTCCTGTCACCTGGAGCAATTCATCCCTTTCACAATTCCTATGGATTCCTCAAGCCTCAATGTGCAGGACTACTTCCCCAGGGTAGTCTTCTAGGTTCTTGTTCAAACCCAGTTTAGACATTCTCCCGTTCTTCTGCGCTCTTCTCAAAATTTACTACACCACACACTATGCTGTCCATTTTCTTCTGTCTCCCCATCACTTTGAGAAACAGGGAGGGGCTCTTACCACAGTCAATCAACCAATAAATGCTTTTTATCTATTAATGGCGCAGGAACTTACAGTAGTAACGCCCCCTTCGCACCCCTCCCCCCCAGTGATACACACAGTGTCAGATATCTATCCCTGGTGCTTGAGGTACAAGGTGGTTAATTTACTTGTAGTAAAGGATGCAAATATGCAAGACAACAGATAAGATTTCACATGGTAATAAATACTTAGATTAACCTGGGTGATATGAGCAACTAGCTCCCTGAAGGCACTACTTCAAGGAGTGTAGTCTTGGAGGCATTTCTGAGGTCTGAAGGAAGGAACTAAGTTTGGGGAAATGGGGGACGTGTAGTTACTTTAGGCAGCACAAGCAGGACAGCTTCACGGTGGAACGGGTTCATATGTTTGAAGAGATGCTGCAGAAGAGAGCCCGCGAAAGAGGTGGGGCTGTCACTGCTGAGTTCCCAGCTAGGGGCATGGCTGGCATTCCACACAGCTTTTGTAAATAAATTGAACTGTATTATGCCAAGTTATTAGTCTCTCAAAGTGTAGATTCTTTGTCTGCTTGGCTTCTGTGGTTGGAAATATTCTCTCAGCAGCAAACCACCCTTATCTTCCTGCCCTTTAGGAACCTTTAAACTGGTATTCATCCTTCAGACAACTGTTGGATTTCTACCCTTAGTGTATTCCTTTTAAAACAAAACAATGGGGGCGGGAGATGTATTTCATTCACTTGGTAGAGTGCTCATCTAGCATGTACGGAGCCCTGGTTTTGAGTCTCAGCACTGCATAAACCCAGGTCTGTGGTAAACACCTGTAATCCCAGCACTTGGGAGGCAGAGAGGACAATCAGGAGTCTAGGGCATCCTTAGCTACCTAGTAAGTCCAAGACGAGATTGGGATATGACACCCTGTCTTAAAATCAACAACAACCCCACAAACAAAAAAGCAGCAAAAAAAGCTACAACAAAAGTTGCAAACAATGTTAACTTTTCTTAATTAATCACTTCACCCTCAGTTTCCAGGGCGTTTTGTGGACTCTAGTACTTCTGCCTTCAAGTCACCCCAGTCCCCATCCATTTTCAGTCACACAATAATAAAAATTGCTGACACTTTCATATGTGCTTCAGTTGGTTCTAAGGACTTTTGCGACTTTAATGTCCATTAGCTCGATTAGCACTCACAATAACCCTAACAGATGGATATAATCACCCTCATTTTATAGATATGTAAAATGAACACAGAAGAAGCAGTCTCTCCAGAATACTGCAATTTGTAACTGCTCCATTTAAACTCCCATAAGAAGGGCTTAGAGCAGCTGCTCTCAACTTGTGCATGGAGACCTCTGGGTGGTGGGACAGTCCTTTCACAGGGGTGGCCTAAGGCCACCGAAAAACACAGATGTTTACATTATCCATAACAGTAGCAAAATTACGGTTCTGAAGTAGTAATGAAAAAGTTTCATGGTTGGGGGTCACCACGACATGAAGAACTACATTAAAGTGCCGCAGCACTAGGAAGGTCGAGAACGACTGTCCTAGAGTCTGTGCTCTCAACCCCGTTGTTGTCTCGTCCTCAATCTTATCAATGTGCGGGACTTATCTTGTTTATTTGTAAATGATCTTTACCACCGATAGAAGGTAAGACAGGATGGGAGAACAAATTAATGTGAATTCCAATTTTGCACGGCAAGCACAAGAACTTGCAATCTTTAAGTCTTGCAGAAGAGTAATATATTGAACCCTAAAGAAATGAGAGCACTTCTAAACTATAGCCTACTATATTATATTTACATGCACAAACATACATCATACCAATTCATTATATGTAGTATTTATATTAGTCTTCCTGTCGTCCTGTTCTAACATGGGTCTTAAACACGGAGAAAAACAGAAGTTGCAGAACCAACCAGAGCATACATCATGAACACCTCCCTCTCCAAAATATACCTATTACTTGTGGAGGTCAAGACCCAATATACAAACACGAAAATGTTAAGTACAAGAATGTTGAACGACTTACGTGAGTGGGCAGGGGTAGGGTGGGAGAGGCAGAGGGTGACGGGGCGGGGGGGGGGGCCTTTAGGTTTACCTACATTTAAAGTTTTACAACTAATATTTAAGCAATGTCATTAGAAGTTACGTGCTGCTAATTTGCATTTTAAGCTCCGCCACGTGAGGCAGCGCGCTAGTCTCAGTGACTTCTCCTAGCGGGTAGGTCGGGGGACACTGCCTCCCTCGGACTCAGGAACCAGGCTTGAGGTCCTGGGGTTAGAGCCCGGCCGGAGTCACCCTTCCCACAACCCGGGCACCTTTTCCTTCTCCGCACAGCTGAGGGGCTTCCCGGGAGGCTCTTCCATCCGGATGGAAGCCGAACGCAGGGAGCAGCCGTCGCCAGCCTCGGGCCTGTGGTCACCGGGACCCAGCCAGACCTTCCTGGGCCCCGAAGGATTCCCGGGAAGGAAGCAGGACCTAGCCGAGCCTCAGCGCGTGACGAGACGGGCCACTCGGATCCCGCGCGCTTCCCACTCGGGCCAATTAAAGCCGCCGCTCGCTCTGCGCATGCGCAGCTGGAGACCTCCGCGCGACGGCGTGGGGCTGCTTAGAGGAGAGCCGAGCAGTCGATGAGAGTCGATGGGAGTCGAGGGCGCGGATAGCGGAAGTGGCCAGGCAGCCGGAAGTAGCTGGAATCACCGTGGGCTTGAGCGACTGACAGGGTCCTGAGGCTCGAAGAGGAGGAGGCAGCCATGGAATTGGGCGAGCAGCTGTACAACAAGTCCGAGTACATCGAGACGGTGAGCGTGTGCTGACCTTGTTCCCCTGGCAGCCCAGCGGCCCCTGGAGGACAGGACGGCCGCTCCTCCTGTCCCTGCTTCATCCGCCCCTGCTCCCTCAGTCTGTACCTTGGGGATGACGTACAGACGCTTCGTGTTTCCTCTGATTTTGTTATTTAGTCCGTGCATGCGTGAATTAGGCTCTCTCCTCCTTCCCTCCGCTCGTCCGCCCCCTTCCCCATCCCTTTCCTCTCCCTCTGTATGCATATATGTGTGTGTGTGTGTGTGTGCGCGCGCGCGCGTATACACACACACCTACTTTTCCTGTAGAGATAGTGTGTTCCGGAATACACAACACAGTCTATTTGTCCTGATATTAATTGCAGTTTCAGGCTTCAGGCCCCTTTAAAAATATTTTACAGTATACTAACGTGCTAAAAAGTTGTTTCTAATCGTCAACTCATGATAACGTGTAAAGTGCTGGAAACAAGCAAGTGCCACTGTTAGGGTTATTCATTTTTTTCTGTATTTCCTTTCGACTCTGTGGTCATGGGAAAGTCATTTTCCTCATTTAGGGCTGTGAAACCGGAGTGTAGAACTGGGGTTTGAATGCACATTGGTCAGTAGATACAAATCCTGAGTCCATTTCTTGAACTTTGAGTTCCTAGTCCACCCTTGCTCTTTTGAAATATTGGATTAAGCCCCTCTTATGTTTTGGGGTGCGAAGCACCCTTATCATTAAGTTACACCCCCAGCCTTCCCACCCCTTCCTGCTCTCTCTCTCTCTTCCTTCTCTAATTTGTTTTTTGTGATGGAGTCTCATTTTGTAGTCCATACTAACCCCAAATTCATAATCATCCTGCTAGGGCCGGGACAGTAGGGGTGCAGTACTACACTCAGCTCTCATTCCATTTTAGACTGCACTCCATTTAAAGTAATTTTTTCTGCAATGCAAACTTTCTTGATGGAAATGGTATCCCAGAAATCTCAGCTTTTTCACTCCAGGTTTCTGTTCGCGTTTAGGCATCTGGGAACAAAGTTAGTCGCCAGTCTGTTTTGTGCGGAAGCCAGAACATCGTTCTCAATGGCAAGGTAAAGTACACAGGCAGCACCCGAGTGCATGCATACCTTTGCTCGTCACCATATTAGCAGGGTATATAAAATGGTACTGTGTCTCCAATTTGTTGTACATTTCCAGTTCTCTTTTCTTTGCTTTATTTGTTCTCCAAAGTGGATTTATTGAATGCATAAAAATGATCAATGTGGAGAAGTCAGGAAATTAGGAGACCTATTAGGTGGGGAATAGAGACATTTTAAGGAAGAAGGGAGGGGAGAGCAGTGTACCACATGAGATGTGGAAGAGGAGGGCACAATAGACAAAGGGGCATGGGCAGCTAGATGAAGGGAGGAGGGAAGGGGAGGAATTTCATTTGAATGGAATGTGAACTTTTGTCTGCCACTTTCTTCAATATTGTATTTACATTACCTTCAATATTATGAATAAAAAAGTGTTGGGGTGGGGGCAGGAACAGAATCCTTTTGTGCCTGAACAAAATACAATGGCACATTTTTCTGCTGTGTAATATTGTGCCCAGTGCTACTGGACACAAAACCTAAAGAGGCAATAAAATATTTTAAAATAGAAGTCAGGGAGATGCTTGCCTGTAATCTCAGCACTTAGGTAGATGAAACAGGATGATCACATATAGTTTCACTTTACCTTTGACTACGTAGTGAGCTCCAGATCATTCTCAGAGACATAATAAGAAAGACCCTGTCTCAAAACAAAGTAATTGGGGAATATATGACCAATGTATGCTGACACTGGTTATTGCCTATTGATCATACTGTCCTGTGTTACCAGAGTTTCTGAGTTTTTTCAAAAGGATCTGGAAATGTGGTGGTACAGCCTGTGTGGAAGCAGGTAGTACAGTCTCTGACCAAATCTCCAAGGCCCGGAGGACCTCAGATGAATCTGAGTGACTCTAAACATGCAGTTCTCAACCTGTGGGTCGCAAATCAGATATTTACCTTATGATTCATAACAGTAACAAATTAGAGTTATAAAGGAGCAACGTAATAACTTTATGGTTGAGGGTCACCACAACATGAGGAACTGTATTAAAGGGTCACAGCATTAGGAAGGTTGAGAACCACTGCTCTAAACAGATATGTTACCTGGTCTACCATGAGCATTCTCTTCACTGAGTGTGTCCTTAAGATTGTGGAGTGTTAAGATCAAAGCTTATGTTGTATTGCAGTCATTCCAAAGCCAGTTCTCCATTCACCATACAGTTACCTCTCTTATAGAACAGTTGATGGCATGAACCATAACATAATGCTCAGTGTCCTGTTGATTATCTCTTTATGTTCCTTTTAGGCTACACCGGTAATTTTTAAATGTGTTTTGCTTTATAGACCATTGTAATGAATGACTGTATCATCCGCGGAGATCTGGCAAATGTGAGAGTTGGACGGCACTGTGTTGTAAAAAGCCGTAGTGTCATAAGGCCACCATTCAAGAAATTCAGTAAAGGGTATGTGATTAATTTCCTGTTTCCAGTCCCAAGCTCCATATTGTTCCTGGTGATACTGTACATGTCCATGTGTTTAGATGTGTAATGAGAAGGTCTATGCTGGTTGGTGGGGCTCTGAGTAAGTGTTCACAGTAATGAACACCACTCTGGGTGGTGTAACCTCGTTCATAGTTGGTTGTCAGAAGTAGAATAGTCCTTGTGAGAAACAGAAATAAAACATCAATAGTAAATCATGAGTAAAAGGTGAAGGTGGATTTTCCTCTTGCATGCCATACCAGAATCAGATGATGCTAAGAAATTTAGATTTTTAATTTAAAATTAAAGAATTCTCATAACTGATGTAGCCTGTAGTTTTTTAAACTATGGGTCATTACCGTATATTGCCATTTCATAACTGAATGTGGAAGACTGTGAAAAAATTGGCCACAATGAAAGGTTTCTGAATATGCAACAACCAAAAATTAATTCCAAATGAAATATATAATGAATCCAAAGTTTGTGGTAGTACTTGCCCATGGTGTATCATGTGACATGACTGCAGCCTCAGTTTTGCTCACAGCATGGTGCATTGCACTGTGCAGGATGTCATACAAGCCACCCCACTGAATGCTGCCTGAAACACTTCTGCTCAGGTTTGAACTACTGTGTCTTATAAGTTCTAATGTCTTTACTGTACATACTAAGTGTCTTAGGGTTCCTATTGCTGCAGTGAAACACCATGACCAAAAAGCAAGTTGGGGAGGAAAGGGTTTATTTGACTTATATTTCCACTGCTGCTCATCACTGAAGGAAGTCAGGACAGGAACTCAACAGATCAGGATCCTGGAGGCAGGAGCTAATAATGCAGAGGCCATGGAGGGGCGCTGCTTCTGGCTTACTTCATCAGCCTGCTTTTTTTTTTTTTTTTTTTTGGTTTTTCGAGACAGGGTTTCTCTGTGTAGCTTTGCACCTTTCCTGGATCTCACTCAGTAGACCAGGCTGGGCTCGAACTCACAGAGATCCGCCTGCCTCTGCCTCCCGAGTGCTGGGATTAAAGGCGTGTGCCACCACTGCCTCAGCCTGCTTTTTTATAGACTCCAGGACCACCAGCCCAGCGATGGCACTGCTCCCCCTAAGCTGGGCCATCCCCATTGGTTACTAACTGAGAAAATGCCTTACAGCTGGATTTCATTGAGACATTTCTTCAACTGAGGCTACTTCCTCTTTGATGATTAACTTGTGTCAAGTTGACACACAAAACTAGCCAGTACACTAAGTTTGCTGCTTAGAGAAACATAATGATTTAATTACTGAAAATAAACTTTTAATATTTTCCTATGTTCATCCCTTAACATGTAAGTATAAAATTAGTATATCTTTGGATTTTATATTAGAATGTTGGGTTTTGAGGCTGGAGAGATGGTTCAGCAGTTAAGAGTACCACTGCTGCCGGGCGGGTGGTGGCACACGCCTTTAATCCCAGCTCTTGGGAGGCAGAGCCAGGCGGATCTCTGTGAGTTCGAGCCCAGCCTGGGCTACCAAGTGAGTACCAGGAAAGGCGCAAAGCTACACAGAGAAACCCTGTCTCGAAAAACCAAAAAAAAAAAAAAAAAAAAAAAAAAAAGAGTACCATTGCTCTTGCAAAGGACCTGGGTGGCTTAAAGCTGCCTATTGTTCCAGTTCTAAGGGACTTTCTTCTGGCCTCCTTGGACTTTGGTGTGCCTGTAGTGTACATAAACACATGCAAACAAATACACATATAAACAAATCCTTTTTTCTTTTTCCTTTCTTTTTTTTTCTTTTTTCTTTTTTTTTGGTTTTTTAAAGACAGCATTTCTCTGTGTAGTTTTGGTGCCTGTCCTGGATCTCGCCCTGTAGACTAGACTCGAACTCATGGAGATTAAACAAATATTTTTTTAAAAAGATTGTTGGGTTTTAAAAATTGCTGTTTGAGTTGCTGACTTGAGTTTCATTAAAAAAAAAATTGGTCAATATATTTTGACTTGAGATTCAGACAGGTCTTTCCAGTAGTTCCTGAAATGGCTCTAAACATACCTGCCGTTTTGTGCTAAGTATTTATGCAAAGTGGCTTTCTCAGCGTTGTTAATTATAAAATTATAATACCAGTCAACTCTGAATAGCAGAGAAGATGCTCTGTTTATCAGATACCCAGGAAAGACTTAATTCTTTATGTAAAAATAAATGAACACACCACAACATGCACATTTGTTTTTGTCTTTAATCATGGTAATATGGTATACATGATTATATGTATACCAAAGTATTGTTTTAAAATAAATTTCTTTATGATTTATAATGAGATTAGACATATATAGACTGGTATGGCCATAGGCTCTTAATGATCAGTAAATATTTTTGTATGTGTGTTTGAAGTAGGTCTAGTGTAGCTCAGACTGGCCTTGAACTCCCTAATTTTCTTCCCTCAACCACCTAAGTGCTGGGCTGTAGGTGTATGTTACCACACTCAGCTTGAATATTTCACTAGTAAACCTATTCTATATACTTGCCTATCTGGGTTCAGATATAAAAAATTTCTTGGGTAAAGAGGTGTCAGGAATAGAAAAAGTTTAGGAGAGCTTGCTGTAGACTGCCATGTGATCAAGGAATTCATTTTTGTACAAGAGGAAGGGACTTAAAATACTAAAAATTAACAAAGTTCAAGTAAATCTTGAGTCTTGGAGAATAGATAGGATGACTGACAAAATATTCATGTAGAACAGGGCTGGAAAGAGTTAATGAGCAAACAGCTACTTTGTATCTTACCTAGGCCACAGATTTAAAATATGGACAGGGTCTGGAGAGATGGCTCAGTGGTTAAGAGTGCTTACTGCTCTGTCAGAGGATCAGGTTCAGATCCCAGCATCCACATTAGGTGACCTTTATCTCTGGCTCCAAGGAATCCACTGCTCTCTTCTAGCCTCTGTAGGTACCCAGAAACACACACACACACACACACACACACACACACACACACACACACACACACACACACACAGTCTTTTTAACAAAAAAACATGGTCTGATAAATGCTATTATAGAAACATTGTCAGTAATATTTGAGGAATTGTAGAGAATAGAATGATATTATATGTTTGAAGGAAGCCTGATAAATCCTGTTCAGTCTTGACTTAAATATAATCTCCTCTCCCTGCCCCCAGACAGGCTTTCACTATGTAGCTATGGCTGTCCTGGAATTCACAGAGATCTATGAGACCAGGCTAGCCTTGAGTGCACAGAGATCTATGAGACCAGACTGGCCTTGAGTGCACAGAGATCTGCCTTCCTGTGCCTGCCAAGTGCAGGGATTAAAGGTGTGAGCCACCACATCTGGCTGTTATTATACGGATGTGGGTCCACTGTAGCTGGAGGGCTTCTCTCCAGGTTCCCCAAGCCCCGCAGTCCCACAATCCACTTATAAAATAATCACTCAGACGCTTATATCACTTATAAACTGTATGGCCGTGGCAGGCTTCTTGCTAACTGTTCTTTTAT